GTAATGTGCTTCCTTTTGTTCAATTTCTCCACTTTATAATGTCTTCTATTTAACATTAGTATGCCTTTTTTTCCAACCTAATGCAGAGATGAATCATTGTTATGCCAAGGACTATCACTGAATGATGATTTGCAACGTGTTTTGGCTAAGCATGAAGCAATTTCTTCAGGATCATCAGTTCAAACAGAGAAACCAAAGCCAGAACCTGTTAAATCCCTTGTGGATGTTGATTCTCCACTTATTGATACTGGAGATAGCAAACGTACTGACCAAGGGTAAATGAGTTTACTTCTGTGCTTTGTTGTAAATTCTTGGGCTCTGTTGGAGACGGGATTTTCATTTGATGAAAGATAAATGCTTAATCAGGATTAACATTATAGAAAAAATTGAGGCTTGAAATCTTGTTTGAAAGGCCGAGTATTTGGATCTATTGGAGTTTGGCACTTCTAGACAGACGAGTACAATAGAATGATAAGATGCATATGCAATATTTGTAGACACCTAGGAGATAATTCACAGATTAATTCACTAGTTTCTGTGCTATACATCAATGAGGACACCTTTTGATTACTATTTTCTTTGGGGCAGAAACCATACATGGGGGAGGGTTGCCAGCCCTCAATTTTATTGATAATTTTTAAAAACCTGGGGGGGGGGCAAGGCAAAAAACATACCTCCAAAAGTACGTGAGCAATTTGATGACTTAAAAAAGCCTATCAACCTGAAGTAGTACTCCCTGACAATGAACAGAGAAAACAAGAATTAAGCATAATAAAAAGATGAAGAACTTGGCATATTGTATTCAATTCCCCCTCTAACTAGATGAGGAAGATGTGCAAAAGACTTAGTAGACCACATCCTCTTCAGTAGTGCAGTCATGTTTGAGAGCATGTCCGCAGGCTTATTAGCCTCTAGGTAACAATGTGAAATAGAGTAGAACATGTCTATATTGCTGATGTTCCTCAAGCTCTCTGTAAATATGCCACGGACAATGAGCTTTACCTTGTAGTATTTGTATCAATAAAAGAGAATATGAACTACTTCTCTAAGTACATGCCTACAAGCATGGGCATGTTATTGAGATAAATATTGCTTAAGTTCCTCGAGCTCTCTGTAAAAATATGCCACGAACATTGAGCTTTACCTTGTAGTATTTGTATCAATAAAAGAGAACATGAACTTCTTCTCTAAGTACATGCCTACAAGCATGGGCATGTTATTGAGATGAATATTTGGTGGTGCATAAGGGAGACTGGCTGATTTCCAACAAGAGCAATTTCTGAATATTGCAGATTATATTGGAATAGTAACATGCTATAGACACAATTGATATGCGATCAATTGCTTTTCTGCACAAGAAATTGTAGCTTTTAGTGCTAAATTACTTTACGTCTACTTGGTGCTTCGGTAATGTATTCTTCAGATCGAGAAACTGCAGTGTCTTGCTACAGGATCTCGTATGCTGATTTAATTGCTCTTTAAGTACTGAAATCAGCATGTCTTTTTGCAGATCTTCTTCTAATGCCAGTTTAGGGACACAGTTACTCCTTCCTGCCCCACCGACAGCTAATGGTCCATCAACAACTCCAACCAAGGCTAGCCCAAAAATGGATCTTTTGAGTGGAGATGATTTTAGCTCACCTACTGCTGAGAATTCGATGGCAATAGTTCCTGTAACCTTCGGGGAACCGCAGCCAGTGACTCCTGTTTCTCAGCAGAATGCCCTAGCACTTGTTGACATGTTTTCACAAGGTAGCAACGCTCAACCAATGGGTTCTGTTGGACAAACATATCCTACACCCCCTCAAGTCCAGCAGCAGCAGAGCTTTCCGACTCCTCAATCGCCAATATACCCAAATGGAAGTGCCCCTGGCACAATGTTCCCTCAATATGAACAGTCTCTCTACGCGCAAGGGTCTAACTCTGCCTGGAATGGGGCAGTTGCTCAGCAACAGCAGCCATCTTTACCAGCTTATGGTACATTTTTGTGCCCAGAATTTTCTGCTTTTTCAGATATTAATATTTCTTTGGAGCTGTGTCCTTGCACTAGGATAGGTACCAAATAGGGTCAAGTGTGTTGTCTGGCTTCCCTTGCTGTCACTAAGAAATTTCGTGTTGGTACTTCTTGAGGACTTTAGGTTGTGAGGCTTTTTGTAAAACTTGTTTTTCAAACTTTCTGAGCATTTACAATTAGGTACCTGTATCACAAAACTGATTGCAGGGAACTGCTAGGTACTTCTTTCTCATAGAATTGAAGTTTCTTGATGTTTTACCTAGAATAAATCCCAAAATGCAGCACGGTAATTTTGCCCGATTAATTGGGATTTGGATTATTTGGGCTGATATAATCAGAGAAATTAATTTGATAGACCTTCGACATAGAGATTTGATCCACTTATCTGCTTTCATTGAACAGACTTGCCTTCACTAAGAGGATGCAAAATGTTTAACCTGTTATGTTGTTTGGTAGGTGCTCAAACTGGTGGTTCATTTCCTCCTCCTCCATGGGAGGCTCAGCCCTCAGATAGCAACCAATTGCCAGGCAGTCACAGCTCTCAACAAATTACACAGGTGGTTGCAACGCAGTCTCAGCCATTGCCAGGTGGCACTTATCCATCACAGCCTATTCCAAATGACCAGTATGTTGGTATGTATATTCAGCCTATCAGCAGTGCGCAGCCTGGTGCAATTAACCATCAGGCTATACAAAGCAATCAATATGTAGGCATGCAACAACCGATGCAAGGGGGGCTATCGATGGGCATGTATCCTCAACCGATGCAATCTGGCCAGATGGCTTACATGTATCCTCAGCAAATGTATGGCAGCCAAATGGGAGGTTATGGCTATGGCTATGGACAGCAACAAAGTGCTCAGTACCTTGACCAAAGAATGTCTGGTCTTTCTGTGAGGGATGACAGTGTCCTGGGCAACTCACCTTATCCTGGTTCCACTCCTTCCTACGTGCACGTGCCTTCAGGAAAGCCCTCAAAACCTGAAGACAAGTTATTTGGAGACCTTGTCGACATGTCCAAATTCAAATCTCCAAAAGCCGCTTCTGGCCGGGCTGGTAGCATGTGATAATGACTGGTTTTGCATTTTTCTTGCATTTTGTTTGCTGCTAACTTTTGCCAATCCATTTTTTTTTGGTCTCTCGATTTCTTTGTTTTACTTTAGATTTTTATCATTGTGATATATATGATCTTTTGTTCCATATGTTTTATTTGCTTTACTATTAGGAGTTTGTACATTAATTGTAGAAAGAAGAGGAGAAAAACAAATAAAACTTAATTTGGACGTTTCAGGGTGAATACAGATAAGTTTTTGATCAGGGCATCTACATTTTGGCCTGCAGAATTTTCTAGTATGTAAATCATTTCTATTCTTTTTGCGAGAGTCAAATATATCTTAGCCCACTTGACGTATAAAATTTGCTTGTTTAAAAGTAAATTCAAAAGTTTCTTTGTTTACCTCCTCCAGCTTCATCAATGACTCTGGATGTTGTTTTTTTTTAACTACTTTGGCCTTGGTGCTGTTTTATATTGTGCAAAAGCTGTTTGAAGGACAGCAACCTTATCACAACAACCAGAGCTCCGTTTCATGCGTGCTTAGGGAATTAGAATCAGAAGGGGGATGGTACGACAGCACAGCGGGTCTGGATGAATTGCAATTAAGTTACCCGTCAAAGCTCAATTGTTTGGTTTGTTTTAAACAAGCCGTTTTTAAGTCTCAAATCACATAGCACACTAAATAATTATTGCCATTACAGAGGGCAGGACTCCAATATAAATGATGGGGAAGGATGAATGTTTGCAAGGAAGATCGTCCCCCCCACCAACAACAATATTGTCTTTCCTTGCATAAAGTAAACCAATCATTAACTTACTTTTTCTTCGATAGCATGTAAGCATACGAAATTCAATTGGACTAACATTAACATGTGAGAATTTGCTGAGAATCTTTTAGTCTAGTAGCTAAGGTGAAATCTCTCAATGAAAGGATAAGTTCTCTAGTTATTATGGAAATAAAACAGACAATTATAATATCCCGATAATACCAAATATGGATACAAATTTTTAATAACTAAAATATGAGGACGAAGAAAGTTCACTAATGCCCTACAACACGTTAAAGGTATGAATTTTTATGTAATAAAAAAATCGCCACTAGATTAAATTCTTTAACGCGTCGGTCTTATACTTGTAGTCATTAAGTATAACCAATGCTAGATTACATATATTACTTGTTTGTTAACAACAAGTATCAAAAGCCACAGTGTATCATTGTAAGATAATGAGATTCGATATGTGTTAAAAATTTAAAAAAAAAAAAAAAGATATGAAAATACTTCTAGGCACATAATGTTGACTTTTAACAAATTATCAGGGATAAAAACAAAAATTTCCAAATACGTAACACCCAAAAAGAACATTTTACTTTAGTCAGTAAAGGCACATTTACAATTTATTAGGGTAAAAGCACAATCCCTAAAATATTTTGTATTTAAAATTGGAACTATTTTTTGCTCGTAGCTCTATCAAAAATTGAGATCCTAAAAATTAGAGGTTCTTGCCTCAAAATCCTCTGCTTTTAAATCCCTTCCTTAAAAAAAATGTAGGAATTACAACTCATTCCTGCAAAAAAAAAAAGAAAAAAAAAAAGGAATGAAGTTGCAAATGTAAAGGATGAAAATTCTATGCAAATCAATGCAATATCACTAAAACCACGTCGTTATTTTATTTTAAATTTAATACAAACTATAAAGTAATTTGATACAGCCAAAGGAATTTATTATACCTGAAGTCGATTTCCTAAAATCACCAAGACAAATTTGTTCTGCTTAGTCAAAGGAGTCGATTTTTAGGAGAATAAACGTCGTCGTATAACCTCAATTGTTGAGGCAAAATTGGCTTCGTTTTCTTCAATTAAGAGTAATAATACTCCTATATATTTCTCGACCTTATGAAATCAGAAAATCGACTCTACTAAACGATGTCGTTCTTTTTAATCTGAAGAAATAGACTAATCTTATTTTATTTACTCAGCCCACAGCAGATTTCATTCCACCTCGCAAACCAGCCGCACCACCTCAACGCCACCAATCTCAGCCTCTCTTCCGCCGCTGACCTCCTCCACCGGAGGAGCCGGAACCCTTGTATACGAGAGCAACGGAGTGCAGTTGGTAATCTATTTGGGGTAAGGCTAATTCTGTGTCTTGACTGCTTTATCCTCAAGCTTTACTGGTAATTCTTTAATATCTAAATTTGGTCAAATATATGTATTTGATGTTTGGATCAGTCAGTGCACCGTAATTTTCCTGGGTTTTCCTTTAATTTTATCCGGGAACAAATAGTTTGGTTTCTTGTTTCGGTTGAGCTAATTAAGAATGGAGAAATTTAATCTTGTTTGGTTGGAATAGAATATTATTAGCCTCCTTTCCCAGTTTACAGTTTGGGATCTTTGGAGGTTTTGTAAATTTGTTCTTCCCTATTTATTCTACTTACAGCTAAACAATCAACTTAAAAAATTGAACTTGGGATTCATTCACTAGGATTCATCAGCTCTTATGTGGAAAATTTGGTTTCTTGCTAATTTTTTTTTGTTCCATGCCCACAGTTATTGGATCATATCTGGCTACTGACTTTCAGATAAGATGCAGGTTTGTGACAGCAACACTCTTACCAACACCACTGTTTTTCTGGAAATAGATTTCTTTATGTATTTTTCTGAATCAACGCAGAATGTGTATTAAAATGAGGTTTAAACTGAGAAGTTGCATAGCATATCACTAAACAAGTTATTTTTCTGCTACATGTAAAATTGAGCAACTGCTCTTAATGAAACAATTTAGTTACAATGAAAATTTTTGTTACTAGCAGTAGCACTCTGTCAGAAGGTGTTGTTTTGTTGACACAGTATCCCCTCGTTTTGTTGCAGTTAAGTTTTAGTCAGATAAAGTGATAAAACCCATAAGTATTCTTCTCCTGTTTACTTCCCCCAAAACCCTTCTGTGCCTCTTTCTTTGGTTTGAGACTTGTTATTTAGTTAGCACAATGCCAATAGACCCAATTAATTGATTAAAATTCTAGTGTGTGGTTTTGGGGTCATGCTGGTAAACCTTTTTATGTTCTGTTTGCTTTAATTATTGAACTTTTCCATTTTAATTGGTTTCACATTGTGTTGAATTGTCTCTTGCAAATAGGCATCAAGAGCAAGGCTATTCAAGGAGTACAAAGAAGTGCAGAGAGAGAAATCAGCTGATCCAGATATCCAACTAGTTTGTGATGATTCAAATATATTTAAGTGGAATGCTCTTATTAAAGTATGCGAGTCTTGGATGAAACTATTTCATTTTTTTATTCACCTTTCTTTTTTTTTTCTTACTTGAATTTTACGGTAAAGAGTTGTGTTCTGCTGGTGAAATCATCCTTTTTTCCCTCCTTTTTGTCTGGTGTGCTATTAATTTTAGGGTCCATCTGAGACTCCTTTTGAGGGAGGAGTTTTCCAGTTAGCATTTTCAGTGCCGGAGCAGTATCCTTTGCAGCCACCGCAAGTGAGGTTCTTGACCAAAATATTCCATCCTAATGTACATTTTAAGGTTTGAATCTTTTCACCTATCTTCTCATAATGTTGCTTTGCAGTTAGAATGAGCTGGTTTATGGGAAGTCATTCCTGCTAATACCAACTGCAGCATTTATTATTATTTTTTTGTCTTTCTGTCAGTAATTACCTTTCTGTGGATGTGCCATCAATGTGTTTGGAAAGGAAAAATTAAGTTCGACTTAATTTAACTGTTATCTTGTTGGTTGAGCTTGAATAGCTTATAGTGCACGTGCTCAAGTGGCTTGGAGTAGTGAATTTCTTTATTGTTCCTTTTCATGAAAAGTATTATGATTAAAAAGTCAGGACTCAGGACAAAGTTTGGTGGTTCTGTGTGATAAATTAGCAAAAGACAGAACAAGAATTCTAGTTAGTTTATTCCGGTAATTGGATAAAACAGATATGGGGAGTTAAAGAAGTTTAAACGTCAAACTATAGAATTAGGATGCTGTCCACCTGTAGCCTCATCTGTGCCCGCACATATGGCTAATACAGATTGAGACTAGGTGTTGTGTGGTTTTGTTCATTGTTCCAGTAGCTATGTACTAGATCAGCATAATAGGTAGTCTTTTGGTTTTTTCTTTGAAGAATTAAAAGTAAAGGACTTCTTTGACTTTCATTAAAACAATTTAGTTGAAAAAAGTACATAATGATTAAGAAAGTACTGAGTTAGATGATACTGATATGGTGAATTAGTTGACGCTTGATGATATCTTTGCTCTTATTCAGACAGGGGAGATTTGCCTTGATATCTTGAAGAATGCATGGAGTCCTGCCTGGACACTACAATCTGTTTGTAGGGCTATAATTGCTCTTATGGCTCATCCTGAACCGGATAGCCCTCTAAACTGCGATTCAGGTATTGACAGCAATTTTGTATTTTTTTTTACCTGGTTTTAAGTTACCTGTCCTTGTGAATCTTGTTTAGCTAATAAAAATTTTGACTCATTTCGCCAGATCCGCCTTACTAGGCAAAGATCTAGAGAATTCATTCTGTTTCAAAACAGTGTGACTCAGGTGGAAATTACCATGCACTTGACATCTTAATTTCATTTGTAAAGTTACTGTCTCAAAGGTTTAAAACTTTTGCATGTATAGCTGCTTTGTGTGTGTGTATACATTGTACCCCTTGCCACATAAGTTTTGACTATTGGTTCTGCATTACGATTGCGTATGGGAGACATCAAGATGGCTGGAAATGGCATTAATGCGTTTGAGGGTCTGATGTTACCAAGTTTGCCCTGGGACCTTTTTTTCTCTCTCCAAGATATCATGTATCTTTGGAAAAAATCGAATTTAATCACTCAGCTGTATGGCTGGTTTTATTTTTTATTTTTGGTCCCAAAATAACAGTCTGTAAATGTAAATACAAAACTTGATCTGTTACTATTTTTGTATTTATACGGGTAACACTTAGCGAATGCCCGTACACCTCTAGTGAGTAAATGTTTGGAATCAGAGTGCTGCATCTTAAATTTACCTTAGGCCATCTTTTGTCGACATATTGATTGGTCTTCCAAGTATGATCCTCATAGTCAAGAAGACTAGGGGTGTGCATCGAATTCGAATTCGGTAATTCGGAAGTTTGAATTCGAAATTTTTCGAAATTTTGGCTTCAATTTCACCGATCGAATTCGAATTCGAAATGGCTAATTCCGAATTCGAATTCGATACCGAATTGAATTCCGAATTCGGTGAATTCCGAATTCACCGAATTCAAATCCCCTTTACCCAAGTTAGACTTTTCATCAAGTCACTGATGTTCTCATGTAATGTTGTGGCTTCTTGCTGACATGGTTTTACCCCATAAGGAGCATGGCCGGTTGACTTCAACTCAATTGGATAGCAGAGATTTGTGTTGTTCCATGCCCCAAAACGCCTCCCCATTTTCCCATAAAACAGCTCAGAGAATTTAAGCTCTCCTGTCAGATAATTTCCGTTCAGGTAGATAGCACTAATGTTGGGTAATGCTCCGATTCTTGGTGGGATATCCCCAGAGACTACTGCAGGAATAATGCCTTAACTTCGGTGGGCTACTGTGTTTAGATTGATAGCAGCTGCTGTAAATGCCCTGTCAAGAAGAACATGCCTTTAGCTCCGCTGCAGCGCCGGCTCACTTTTATTCGACACCTTAAACAACACTTACCCGGTCACCTCCGTTTCCCCTCAACTCCAGCGTCTCACCATTCAACCCTCCCCCTTCCTCCGTTTCCCTTTATTTCACTTCCCCTATCCAGAACCTAATTCAGAAATGCTTGGAAGCTGTTTGATGAAATGCCTAAGAAAAATAAACTAGAAACATAGATGAAAGCTAAGTAAAATTACCGGCGTACCTCAATGAAGGCTGATGATGTCTGTCTCTGTTGGGCTTGAAGGTGAAACCGAGAGAGTGAGACAGTAAGCTGAGTCGGAGGCAGAGGAAGGAAGGTGACGAAGAGGCGATGAGGAAGGAAGGAAGGCAGTGACGACTGACGAAGAGGAAGAGGGCGGCGGAAGAGTAAGGAGTAAGGTGTAAGGACTACGGTGAGTGAGTGAACAGATTAGGGTTTTTGGCTTTTTGCAATATCACTTATTATTTCAATTTTAATTTCAATTATTAACTTATTATATTATAAAATATATATTATATATGTATTGTTAAAACTATTATAGTATATTATTATATATAAATGTTAATATTCGAATTCGATATAGAATTTCCGAATTCGAATTCCTATTTCGAATTACCAATTCGAATTCGGTAATTCCGATTTCAAAAACTATATTTTCGAATTCGACCCGATTTCGATCAATTCGAAATCGGATTACCGAATTCAACTACCGAATTACCGAAATTCCGAATTCGAAATTCCGAATTCAATTCGAAATCGATTCCGAAATCGAAATTTTTTGACTTTGCACACCCCTAAAGAAGACCAAAGCAAGTGAGTATTCTTGGCTTATATGCTTCTGTGACTCATTTGTGGTTTTAGGTGGAAACTAAAGTGGTTAATGGTGTTGCGAGAATCTGGAATGTTTTGGATCCTTTTTTTTTTACAGCAAAACTGTAGAAGAGTTCTAGTAAATATCAACACGGATAGATTTACTCAGAGGATAATCCTCGTAACTACATCATAAGCCTCACTATCTGTACTCCACTAGTGTTTTGGATCATATAGTTTGAAAATTGTATTTTTACATTCCATGAAGTAAGATGGTGAAAGAATGGTGAAATATGAATGTCTTATTGACTTTTTCCAGTATGCATTATAATGATAAAGAATCAATACATCTATTTCAATTTAATGCGGGCCAGGTCCAATCAAGGCAAGTTTTGCCTGAAATTGTCCCTTCTGATTGTTAGTTAAATGATACTTATGAATAAGATTTCCTGAATTTGGTCAATAACAGAATTAACGTTGATTTTTTTTTTCAAGTGGAAAATTGTAACTGTAAAATCTTAATTTGCTTAATTTTTCATGTGAAAAACAATAATGTAATCTTACTCTGTTTCAATTCGCTTATCTACTGTGGTAGTCCTCAATGTTTACTACTGTCTCTTAATAATCATTGAGAAAAGTACTTGCGCAGTACTGCTGTTACATTTTCACACTCAGTAATTTTAAATCTTGACTTAAACAAGGACTTCCATTTTGAAATGGAGAAACTGCCTCCAATTTTCTTGTTTCAGACACAATATATCAGGCTACAATTCTTGTCTCACATGGATGATTTTCTTAGCTTTTGAGTATGTTATCTTCTATTCCTTGCTAGAGCAGTCGATTTTGGTGTGCTTTAAAGCAACACTGATGCGTTGTGTCTGCTTTGGTTTAGGCAATCTCCTTCGTTCTGGAGATATCAGGGGATATCAGTCGATGGCGAGAATGTACACTAGGCTTGCAGCCATGCCCAAGAAGGGATGAAGTCACAATTTCCTTGGCTCATGCAGTTCATGTTTCCATGCTATGTGTAATTGGACTTCTTACTTTTACTCAATTAATTACAGGTGGTGTTGTAATAAATTCTAAGGAAGATGATCAATGATTTTCTGGTAACAGTTTGTGTCCCTACTAGCTCTGCCCTTCGCAGGCATTTTTTTTGCTTGTTCTTTGAGTAGATGAGATGCTTATCTTGAGCACCCCTCTACCTAGGAGGAGAGCAACAAAGAGTCAAAAAATTGAGAAACTAAGGGAAAAAGATGTTCTTTCTTTGATTTGACTCCATTGAATTGTCTTTGTACACAACCATCATATGAAAAAGTAAAACTGGAATGGCTCTATCTTAGTAAAACTTGAATGGCTCTATCTTATTCAACTGTTCTATGTACAGATTCTGGATTTTGAGACCAATGTAGTTCTCAAGTTCCTTTATGATCTAGATTGTGTAACTTCCTTCTTGTACTATAGTTTTTCAAGTTCCCATATATTAGAGCATTCAAAAGATTATACTAACAATTGAAATTCTACAAATAAGAAATCTCGCTGGTTCTCAAACTTGTGGCAGTATTTTATTTGCACTCGCCCAAAATTTAAAAAAAAAAAATCGACAAAAATCTTATAAGGGATTCAGCCATTCTGGGATTGCTTTTCGGAAGTTGGAGCAGGTTCAGATGTTAAAAAGAATGCAAAATGTAAATGCCATAAACAAGTATCTTTACCTCTTATTTTCCATTAGTAAAATCACAGTATTCCCATTGTATTTTGTCACTTGAAGAATGAATTTATCCGAGAACTCAAAACACAAGGGCAAACCCAAGTCAAAAAGACTTGCCAAACAATCAATAGAATGAGATTAATTCCAAGCAAGACGCTACAAACACCAACTTTTATATAAATTAATTCAGCTAAATTCAAGAGTAGCATAAGCACAAAACACACGCTGTTGATTCTGATGGAAAGATCAGCTCCAATGCTGATGTTGACTTTTATGTAGATGATGTAAGTTGTAACTCTGGATGTAGTGTTGCGCTTTTGTCCTATGCACATAACTTGACACATCCATTCCTGTTGCATTTAAAATTAAGAAAGAATGGTTAAATCTCGGAGCAAACCATTTTGAACGAATTAGATAGTACAGTGGGTAAGCTTGTTTAGTAGCAAAATTTGGTAAGTGTCTTGTGGGCACTGACACTATCTGAAGCCTATAGGCATCCTGAGCTTTGGCAGTTATTAGGGTTCAACTTGCCATTTTGGAGGTCAAGCCATGCAGGCACAACATGTTCTGTTCCTGCATCTATACAGAAAGTCTAGTTGATGTTATAAGCCTGAGCTTGTTATGATCGTAAATAGTCTAGTTGATGTTATAAGCCTGAGCTTGTTATGATTGTATAGCTGTTAAGCTTGACAGTTCAACTCAAATTTGCTCACTGATTCCATCCTAGCCCCATGGTCCTGAACTTGGTTTAGAAAATCTGATTGAGGTTGTTCATTGTTGAGTATGAATTGAGCATAGCCAAATTGAGTGAAAATGAGTTCAAGGTGGTCGCAGCCTCATGTGGCGTGCAAGTATGCTCACCAGGAATATGCTTGCTTTTTTATGCTGTGTAGGACAGACCGATATTACTGCAGTCTACATTTCACTGTCTTGGATATTTGTGGTGGATCATGAATTGAAGTTTTGGAACCTGCAGAAAGACATCTAGTGAATGGCACAATTCTAATTGAAGACCATCAAAATTTATTTAGAGCCCATTTTGTTTAAACTCTGAAGCATTCAGAAGTCAAATGCGTGTTAACTATAGCTTTCTGTTCATCTATCTGATGCGTTTTTTTTTGGTTTTAGGACATGATTCATGTTATAGAATCTAAACCAGCTAAGCGGTATGGGGATTATTTTCTGCGGCAAATTGTCAAGGTACTTGCATCTCAACTGATGCTCATAAAACGTGCCTGTTACTTTCCTGTAGTTTGCATGCTGGTGCCTGTTCTCGTACAGCTTGAAGGCGTGATGACCGATGTCGACAGGGTAAAGTTGGAGTGAGTTCTGGACTGGAGCTACAGCCATTTTTGTGCGGCAGAACATTTTAATTAGCTTGGCTTCCACCTCCCAGAAACTTGAGGAAAAGAATGAGATGAAAAATGGACTGATTTTCTTTTCTTAGACGTAGAGTTCCATCATTTGTGGCTATTATTTTTTGCTTGGATGGGATGGGGCTGAGTTCTGGGGAAAGATGGGAGTGAGGGTTGGTGGGGTTAAGCAAGGGAATGCATGACTGAGAGAGAGACTTTTTCCCCTGGTCGCGTCCCCTTCCTTCACTGAGGCTGCTTTTATTGTTTTTTGTTTTCCCCAAGTGTACAATTTCTAGTTTTTCTGTATTGTAATTTATTTCCAGATAGAAAAAGAAAACACGCCTCGTTTCGCGCAACGGGTCTGGAGTAGGTGGCACTGGTGAGTGGTGATTCCTTGCCCAAGTTGTATTGACATGTCGTAGCTTACAGTTTCGGTTTGGTGGAAATGCTCTAAGGATGTGGTTGTTGCTTTTGAGCCTTGACTAATTTCAAGATATGACTACTGTAACGCTCGTCAACTTCAAAATGACCATAGCCATTGAGAACGGGAACTCAACAATATTTACAATGAGAACAAGCATACTGTTGTAAAACTAATTAACTACTATAGTATGAATAGAGATATTAAAGAAAGAAGTAGAGAAATAGAGAATGATATTCTGATATTTCAATAAAATACAAAAGTCCTTCCAAAAGGTGCAATGTACCTCTATATATAGGTACTACAACATTAAAGGTACATTAATCCTATTAAACACCCGCTACTACAAGAATACGAAGAAACCTATGAAATAATTTCTCCACTATATGAATAGATTTATGGATTGTAACTTCTATACATAATGTAGCTATAAATCATGAATTAATCCTCTTGAGAATACAAAGAGACATCCACAATTTAAGTTGTTTCATAACACATACAGCATTTTAGAACAAATAGAAGAATTAGAATTTTATACCTTCTCTAGGGAGTGGTATGTATTTTTACAACTTTCTTTATGGTTGAAATATAGCTTCTTTAGGCATATATAAGAGAAATATAGATATTGGTGATTCAAACTCTAGTGGTTTTTGTGGAATAAGAGAAATATAGCTTCTTTAGGCATATATAAGGATTTAGGAAACTTGAAGAGGAATTTTGCTCTCAAATTTTTCTCAAAATTTATTCTGTTCTATATGATTTGCTCTATTTGATGATTTATATTCAATTTTATTGTTTTTTCTTCTTTTTTTTTTTCCTAATTGTTACTTCTATTGTCATGGAACATAGATATTGGTGTTGTATGAAATATAGGTAAAGATTGTTAGTTATATGCAACTAAATTGAAAAACCTTTTAATAATGACAAATGTTTTATTGTTTGTGATTATTCAACAAATGGTCTTTTTTAAGTTGAAATGTGGGATACAACAGGGTTTACATGCTTTGTTTCTCTTATAATAGAGTATGCAACTGATGTGTTATAATATATGTAATCGTATGATATTACACATGCAATATTTAGATGAGACTTTGAGTTGCTAAATTTGTTGTAGAGTTAGACAGCTGATCTGATCTTTTGTTTACCCTTTATGAATGCGATGATAGTTACACAATCTTGAATTGAAGCCTTGCTTTTGTAAGCAATTTCACTTACACTGCCTCACATTTGAAAAAGTTAAAATATATATATATTGTTCATAATAAATTAACTACCTAATGCAAAAATTAAGGGTAGTTATGGAATCAAATTGCTTTTTCTCTCCTAATACCAATTTTATATTATTTTTGTATTTGAATTGGGATGATTTGTTACTAGCTAATTAGTTTTAGGGGATGTTTTCGATATTTTGAAAACCTCATGGGAGGACAGTGAAACCTGAGGATTCTGAAATTGTCCCTAAAGAATACAGAGTAGTTGGTCCCACCACCACCAATTTGGAGGCAATTACTACACAAGACCACAACCAAAGGCGTACTACCAAACGAAGAAGGGATAATTTCAGAAACCTCTCCTGAGATTTCTGACAATTTTACTAGCCTACCTTGAATTTTACAAAATTACACAAACCTCACCTAATATTAAGGTTTTGAAAATAAAATTAATTCAATTAGAAAAAATAACATAAAAAAAGTACTTTAAGGCGAGAGATGAAATTTTTATTTCATAAATATCTTTTATGCATGTATATAAGTTGTATTAGTAAAATAATGAAAAAAATTAAAAATTAAAAATAATTAATACACATATTTTACCACTCAAAAGTTCTCATTTAATAAATTAGATAATATAAATAAGCAATAAAACTATACTAATTATCACAGGATTCAGCAAAACAGACTAGTTATCTCTTTTGACATGATATTTGTCACAAATCTTGTGATTTTGAAAAAAAAAAATTCAAAGATAGGAGGGAAAAAAAGACAGAATTCGAAAATTATTCTATTTAAAATCACAAGAATCATAGCAAAATCATGTTAAAAAAGGTGACTAGTTTATTTTGCTGAATCTTGTAATCATTAGTATAGTTTTGTTATTTATTTATATTGCCTAATTTATTACATGTGAACTTTTTGAATGGTGAAATATGTGTATTAATTATTTCTAATTTTTAATTATTTTTATTCTTTTACTAATACAACTTATTTATATGCATAAGGCGTATTTATGGAATAAAAGTTTCATTTATCTTCTTGAAGTACTTTTTAATGTTACTTTTTTAAATTAGACTAATTTTGTTATCAAAACCTTAACTTTAGGAGAGGTTTGTGCAATTTTACAAAGTTTAGGGGAGGCTAATAAAATTATTAAAAACTTTAAGGGAGGTTTCTAAAATTATTCCGAAGAAGAATGCTGTGTCATAAAGAATGCTTTTTCTTATAAGCCAAGGGCCGGGCCTTGGGCTAAGGCCCAAGACTAGCTTCAGGACAAACAATTTTGTTGACTTTTTGTTTTTTTTTTCAACAAACGATTTTGTTGACGCGAATGATGGGACAGTGTATCCTCTCAGTTCTAAACTGACATTGGTAGGTGGGCACGTGAACTTGGTAGATATTAGGGACAGTGTATCCTCTCAGTTCTAAACTGACATTGGTAGATATTAGGGCATAACATAATAGCGGAATAGTTTGGTAACTTCTAAAAGATTTAAAAGAAGGGATAATATCATAGACCTCCCTTGAGGTTTATCCTAATATCACCTGATACCCCTAAAATTTTAAAAATATCACTTACCTCCCCTATTAATTGTAAAAGAACTATATTAACCCTCACTTGAAACATAATTCACATAACAAATAAATGGAGCTAAAATAAAAAAAAAGGAAACAAAAGTCACTTTCTTTTCTTTCCCTTTTCTCTAGAGTTGTTAAACGAACCGAACTGTTCGGTAACTCGATTCATTTCGACTCGTTCGTATTCGTTAAAGGCTCGTTTGAAATTTTAAACGAACCGAGTTCGAACGAATTTTTTTGTTCGATTAATAATTGAGTCAACACGATCATGTTCGCGAGTTTTAACGAATGTTCACGAACATACTAAACGAACGTTCGCGAATACGAATATGCTCACGAGTTTTAACGAACGTTTGCAAATATGAACATAATTATCATTTGACAAATTTTAGAGTTAATTTTATGGCTAGACATTTTATATTTGGAGGGCAAATTGCTTTGTTTTATTTGTTGTTTTTATGTTAATGTTAGTTATATAGTTAATGAATAATATAATTTAGTCACTTAGTGCTTTAGCTGTTTTTTAGAATGATTAATGATTTGCATGGCATATTTAAGGTTTAAAATAATTTAGATTCGAGCATTTCGAACATGTTCGTGAACGGCTCATTTATGTTAAACGAGCCGAACACGAACTCGAACTCGAACTCGAATTTTGCTTAACGAGCTGAACACGAACACAGGTTTGGAGTTCGAAAATTAACGAATGGACACAAACGTTGTTCGAATCGCTTAACGAACAGAGTTCAAACATGAGATACTCGATTCGATTCGTTTACAGGTCTAATTTTCTCCAATATTCTTTCTTACTCCTTTTTTGGATGACTATGCAATTTTCTATTTATAAATTATAATAAATTAATTTTTTTCATCTTTTACTTTTTTTGTAATTGTGATAGAGTAGGGTATGATTTATTTGCTTATTTTAAGTTGTTTGTATAATGATTAGTACAATTTAAAAATTTGGATACGAGTTGAGAAGAAGTTGAAAAAAAAGATAAAGTTCAAAAGTAATCGATTTTGAGCATGTAGAGTTAAATTAGTCAACTGTATTTCTTTCCAAATATCTTTTTTTATTTTTCAAATATATATTTTTATCGACTATAAAATTATGATGTGGTAGTATTATTAGAAATTATTTTTTAATTGATGATTTTCTTGAAGTAAACAAAGTGATCTGGTTGCATTTTTATTTAGCAAGCAGAAGGGTAATTTAGGGTTTTTAAAAATTTTATTACTCAAATAACAAAAGTGAGGGAGGTAAGTGATATTTTTAAAATCTTAGGGGTGCCAGGTGATATTAAGAGAAACCTTAGGGGAGGTTTCTGAAATTATCCCTCAAAAGAAATAAGGTGTTCTGTCACTCTAATTCTTTAATTTTCTGAATAACAATTGTCGAGGTCCTGAGAGCGCAGACCAATATCACATGGTAGTGTAAGAGCCACAATAGTCCAGAGTCCATTTGTGGCCTGTGAATTTCCAACGGCTATTCTAGCTAGCATTCCACAGAGCGGTTTCCTTCATCTGCCTCTACAATCCAACTGGTCCACCTTGTCAGTGCTGCAGCCCACATTTGCAGGGTTGCTGGGCCAAACTAAATTCAACGTGTAGTTCACAGAGTGCTGTTGCTTTTGACGCCAAAGGTTTCTGCAGAGTTCAGCGATGGTGGGCTGCAGCCGATGTTCAATCAGGGCTGTGAACTTCGTCATTCGACAATCAAGTCTAGCCGGGTCCCCATGCTGCTAAAAGATACAAAAATTCAAAATTAGGTGCACAATTATATTATATTGAAACCGGGACAATCAGGTTTCAATCAGCGATGGTGGGCTGTAGCCGATGTTCAATCAGGGCTGTGAACTTCGTTATTTGACAATCAAGTCTAGCCGGGTCCCCATGATGCTAAAAGACACAAAAATTCAAAATTAGGTGCACAATTATATTGAAACCAGGACAATTCACTGATTCCCCTCAGAATAAGGTCAGGTAAGATAAGATTAAGATAAGATACCAACAATTGGATTCTACAAATATAATCTCAGAAACCTTCCCTTGAGGTTTCTTATTATTTCACTTAGTTCCCTTGATGTTTTAAAAATTACACTTACCTCCTTCAATTTGACCCTTTGGTAATCAAACTTTAAAATAGAGTAAAAATTTAATGAATACCCTAAATTACCCTTATCTTACAAAGTTTAATTTGTTCTTCTAAACAAAAAATGTGTCAAGTTTTTCATGCTAATATTTGTTATTTAATAATCAACTATAACAATAAATCTTTTGCTATAATTGAGTATTTTTCATAGTGCTTTATTGGGAATATAAATTCTTTTTAAGATAAAGAAGAAAGTGCTATTTTGTTTATTTTAAAGTTTATGGACTATTTTTTTTAATAAAAATTTATGGACTAGTTTAGTGGTGAAACTATCATAATTTGGTACTGATTTTGGGTCATTTGTTTTTAATCATTGTTGACTTATCCTTGATTTTGATACCAAAAAAAAAAGAGCTACAAAAAAAAAATAAAATTGGAGGATACTAAAGGTTATAAAAAAATATTACCAGTTTAATGTTTAATTTAGATAGATATTAGGGACAACGTTAATAGTTCTTGTATACTTCTAATAAAATATAAGAGAAATGAATAAGACGGAAAATGGTAACAAAAATATAAAATCCATCCTTTGCATAAATAGGAAAACAAGAGAGTTTTATTAAAAATATTAAAGTTAGTATTGTCATTTTAAATGGACAAGGGAGGTAGGTGTAATTTTTGAAACCTTAAGGGAACCAAGTGAAATTATTAGAAATCTCAGGGGAGATTTGTGAATAGATGGGTATGAGTATCTTAAATTTTTGTATATAGGTATAAATGGATTATCCAATAATACCTATTTATTAAATGGGTATTATTGGGTAACCCATTAAATCCAATTAACCCATTTAGAAATTTTTTCCCCCAAGTCTTTTCTCTTCCCCCACCCAATTTTTTTTTTCTTCAGATTTTTCATTTTGTCATGATGTTAACTACTTTTGTTTCATTATTATTATTATTATTATTATTATTATTTGTTGGTTTTATCTTATTATTTATTTTCTCTTAGTTTGTTAACTTGCACATTTTTTAGCATTACGAATTTATGATAAGTTTTAGCCTCTTTTCTTATCTTTCTAAAATGAAAATTTAAATTTATATATGAAAAAAATGTTAGGGGTTCAAAATTTTTGGATTAAGTTTTTATATTAACTTTTATAGTTCTTAGTTCAAATTTTTATATTCTTATTATTCAGTTATTAAATAATATGTAATTTTGCGACATAGAGTATAAATGAAAAAAAATTGGTAATTAGGCTTATTGAGCATTATAAGTAAATATTTCAAACTAATGATGGGTACAAAGAGCGGTATAAATTGATAACTTAGTTTGCAAAAATGAATTTAAATGAGTTTACAAAAAGTTAAAATAAATGGGTTATAAGTGGGTAATTAGGTTACCCAATTCATTTTTTGACTTATCCATTTGTACCCATCTAATTAAATGGGTAAAAATGGGTTGAGTCACTTATACCCATTACTCATTTAATCCAACCTAAACCCGCCCAAATCACCCATTTTGACACCTCTACCCGTGATCATTGCATTGATTAATGCTCATGGGTTTATTGATTAGAAAAATGGCAAATAAGGAGGCAGGTGCTTAGACACTACAGACACCAACTTTTATACAAATTCATGGGTTTAGCCAAATTCGCGAGTAGCACAAGAGAGTATGTAATTCATTACTGTGATTCAGATATTGAAAACATAACAATTCTTGTACCTTCAAAATACAAAACCTTCTATTTTTGAATACATTGGTGGCTGCCACTGGCCATTTGGTCCGGTGGTCATCCCTTTCTTTGGGATGCTGGAGGTCAGGGGTGCAATCCCTGCCTCCCATAACCTGCCACCCTACGTGGCTGGTCTTTGCCCCCACGGGGTAGCTTGAGCGGTCCGCTCCCCCTCTTTAGGGCATGGCGACCTTCCTGGTTTGTTTAGGGTTCGAGTCCCGCTGTTAACGTATTCGGTGTGGAGTGGGGCCTCCTTTCCCGGACCGCAGGGAATTAGTCGGGCCCCGTAAGAATTGACCCGGACACCCCTGTGTCGACAAAAAAAAAAAAAGAATACATTGGTGGCTCTTACACGTGTAATAACGTTCATCATAGATTATCATTTCATACTTTTCCTGGGAAGAGCAAGGGCCCCCACACCATAATAACGTGCCTCATATGAGCCATTGCACACAAGCTAGCAAAGCAAATTGGCAACCTCGTAAAAAAAATCCTATAAATACTTGGCTTCTGTCCATCATAGTAGAGCATCAGAACATCAAATCCCTCGTGCAAAGTTCAATATCTGAACCCTTTTTTCTTCTTTTAACTAGGAGGTTTGTTTAGAGAAAATTTGTGAAGGGAAGGATGGCAAATAAGGAGGCAGGTGTGACTGTGAGCATGGAAGTAGAGGATGATGGCATTGCACTCATCACCATCCGTAACCCACCTGTTAATGCACTTTCACTCTCAGGTACATCATGTATCTTTTCCTTTAGTGATTGGGTCCATACAACTGCTACCTCTAACTTCAGATTGCATGGCTAAACACAGCTCTGCAAAGTTGATACCACTATTAAAAGCATGGAAAATGTGCTTATATTTGTTGTGAGTCGAGATCAAAAAGAGAAAAGCACGATTATTTCTAACTAGCTTTTATTTTTATTTTTTAATTAAATCAGTGACCTTAAAACTTCAAGCATCAGCAGATTAAAGCCTCCTCGCCTGTGTTTCTGATCAGTTAAAAGATTTAGACAAGTCGATCTTAATTTATCCTCATTGTGAAATGAAAGCTTTGATAATACTGATTTCTTGGCTAATAGTAATTTGATTTGCAAAATGAGCTCGCTTCTTTAGGGATTAGAGAGTCGGAAGATGGCAGCGTTGGGAAGTACTAGTTAGTAAGTTTTTGCATGGATGCCCTCAACGACGTTTGATCTTTTACGCCACCTTCTCAATGTTTCCTCCTGCCTACTGCATTGTCGGGATATCCTTTTCTTTTATTAACAGAGTAAAAAGACGGGTGAATGTTTTTATAAATTGTGACAACATCTAAAAGAATTTTATTTAACTTGTGAAATTAATTTGAAATAACAAAATGTTATGATTAGGAAAAAGAAAGGCAAAATTCGAAAATTTTTCAACTCAAAATCACAAGAATCATAGTAAACATTATGTTAAAAGAGATGACTAATCTGTTTTGCTGAATCTTGTAATCACTAGTATAGTTTTGTTGCTTATTTATGTTGTCTAATTTATTAAATATGAATTTTTTGAGTGGTTTATTAATTGTTTCTAACTTTTAATTATTATTATTTTTTTTACTAATACGACTTATATACATGCATAAGGGGTATTTACCAAAACAAAAGTTTCATCTCTCCCTTTAAAGTACTTTTTAAATGTTACTGTTCTAATTAGACTAATTTGTCATCAAAACCTTAACCTCAAGGGAAGTTTGTGTAATTTTACAAACTTCAGGCGAGGCAAGTGAAATTGTTAGAAACCTCAGGGAGGTTTCTGAAATTATCCCTACTAATAAAATAAAAGGGTGAAGGATTATCCTTTCATGATTTAGCTAATTAACAATAATGTTATTTATGATGGAATTGCAGTAATTGCTGGCTTGCGGGAAAAATATGGTGAGGCAATGAGAAGAGATGATGTCAAGGCTATTGTTTTGACGGGTGAGCTCTATGTTTGGCTAGTTCATTTCGACTTTAATTTCCCTTTTATCTGTCCATATAATGTAGCATCATTTTTTAGGACATAAAAAACTGTTGGCTAATTTTCTGGAAAATATCATACTATTATTAGATCCTCCAAAAATTTTAGGACTGCACTGATTGAGGTCCTTCAAATTTCGCGTTTGAAATTGAGAAATGAGCCCCTCAAATTTCAAGGCTTTCCTAATTCGGCACTTCAAATTTGCTACAGCGTTGTCCCAGAGGCTATACCTGTGTTACCATTAATATATTTGTTCTTTGTTTTTGTTTGCCTGATCTTTCATTTTTTTTTTTTCCTTTTTACTCTTTTGTTTTTGTAAGCTTGTTTGCCTGATCTAAATAAGACTGGCACACGTTTACTGCTTCATAATTTGTTTTACTATTATTGGTATAAAAGTTTTTTTATTGACTAAGATTTGGCTAAATTTTGTTAACCTTATTAATTATACAAGAAGAATTATACCATATTTTACACTTATTTGACACATGCATGTAATGGTTATCAAAGTAGCGTGCACTATATCAAACTTTAATGGATAATCCATTGGTCCTATTGACAACCGGGGCTGAGCACCCATCTGAACTCAATACAAATTGTCTTTTAAACTTCTGTACGAAGTTGCTGCTGCACAAGTGCGTGATGATGAGATTTCTGATCAAGGATTTTGCTTTTCTTCTGGGCATTTACTTCAAGGACTAAAAAAATCGGTGATACTGTGAATAGTTCATACCTTAAAGTTCTTTGTATTATTGTATACCAGTTGTAGGTAAGAGCCCTTTCCATTGATAATTTTACAGGTGCTGATGGTAAATTCTGTGGCGGTCTGGACATCAGTTTTTTGCAGGAAGTACAGAAGACTGGTACTGTTTCAATAAATTGTTGTTGAGATTTAACTACTTTAGCTCTTACCTGAAGTCGCTTTCTGGAGTTTTTCTTTTAATCTCACTTGGCTTCGGCCATTTCAGGGAACGTCTCACTTCTGCCAAATGTGTCATTTGATCTTGTTGTCAACACAATAGAAGGTCTTGATCATATAAATCTCTCTCTTTTCTCAGTAGATATGTGTTTCACAGTTTCACTAACTCATTTGAACTTAATTTTGTCCCTTTGCTTCTTTAAGATGGCAAGAAACCTTCTGTTGCTGCTATTCAAGGATTTGCTCTGGGAGGTGGCTTGGAACTGGCAATGGTATTTTGCTTCTTCTGTGCCTTGCTATCTATAGAACATCTTCCTTTTAAACACCTTGATAGTCTACATTCTGGTTTGACGAGTGTTATTCATGTACTCGTGTACAGGGATGCAGTGCACGAATTGCTGCACCAAGAGCAGAACTTGGTTTACCAGAGCTTAAGCTTGGGATAATTCCTGGTTCTGGAGGTATCGCTGAATTGACTCTATAATTAACTGTCTTTGGCATTTACTATAACAGCATTGTCGGTTCATTTTCCCATTTGACTTGAAACATTTACACATAAATGCGAAGGCACTCAACGTCTTCCAAGGCTCGTGGGAGTTTCAAAGGCCATCGACATGATGTTGGTAGGTCATTGATACTCTGCATTCTTACTGCTTTTCTATGCTGATGCCAGGAAGAAACTCTCTCTCTCTTTTTTTTTAAAAAAAAAAAATCAAGAAGCGGTTTATGAACTTATAATATGTGATATTTTTCCTTTCTCATGTTACATTAGCGATGGAAACCCAATCTAAAGGTGTAATCCTAAACCTTCAGTAGATAGGATGCCTGCAAAAGAGAAGGAAAAAAAAAGTGTTGCCTCTAATATGCAGAACATTGCAGAATTGTGCAGTCTCTGGTAATTATTGAAGTCAGATTCACAAAAGGAAACTCCCTTCCTCGGACGGAGTTCTATGCTTACCTGAAGTAACAAGCTAATAAGATCACTCCCTTAGTACGCATTGTTAAAATTACCTGTGCAGGAGTTTTTAATTTATTCAATTCGCATAAACACAACTTGGCCTTAGCCTTGGATAACTTAAAACATCACTTCAAGCACAGAAAAACTTCAAGAATTTCAGGAGTACCTGCATAAGATATCTGAAATATACAATCTGATATTCAAAACTTTTCTTGTTAATTAACTAATCGCAGTTCAAGAAAGTTCAGCAGCTCATGTGTTTGTTATATTATATGATTCTTTTTTGAATTCATCACCACATTTTCACACATACAGCACAAGTAATCAATTTGCTCATAACATGCGGACAGCCTAATTGAAGTAATAACCTCTTCTCTTTCCATTGAGCAGACAATCTTACCATTTTGGCTTTTACGGATGCATGAAATAAAGTTCTTTCTTATGAATTTGTATGTCCCTTGTTCCTATTCTTATCGAGTTTAAGCATGACTCCTGAACTGTCGCAGTCGTCCAAGACTATAACTTCGGAAGAAGGGGCAGAGTTGGGTGTCATTGATTCTATAGCATCTCCTGATGAGCTCTTAACTGCATCTCGTCAATGGGCACTAGACATTGTAGAAGGGCGTAGACCCCATATTAATAGTCTTCACAAGAGTGACAAACTTGTAGCTGCCCATGATTTAGATGATATCTTTCAAAAAGCTAGGCAAAATGCACAGGCGAAATTTCCAAATGAGCCTCACTACGGTGCCTGCCTTGATGTGATTGAAGAGGGAATCATCTCTGGGCCAAACTCTGGTCTCCTGAAGGTGAACTTTTTGTCTAAATCTATTCTTAAAATTATAGAGGTAAAGAAACATATAAACTCTAGTCAATTGATGAAGTGTAGATGCATCTGCAACTTTTTATGCACATATATTTATGGCAAATATCACTAATGTGACCAATAACTTGCAGGAGGACAAAGTTTTCAAAGAATTGTTGCTATCCAACACTGCAAGAGGTCTTCTTCATGTATTCTTTTCAGAGCGTGCTACATCAAAGGTGCAGAACCTATTCACTAATCTTTATTCAACATATTAATGCTGCAAAGACCAAACATCTGGGAATTAGCATGACTGTCTTTAGATTTAAGTTCACTATTCTGCAATTCAGCTTCAAGTCATGTTGATTTTTTAACTAAATGCCATTGAACAATGTTTCCAATGAAATACCCTTATGAAGAGATGAAGTTACAAACTTGCCTTGGCTACTTCAAGCCAGCATCTGATTTTGGTTTTTTAAACCTCTTTGCAAGAGGTAGCATTTCCCATCAAATTAAATTTTGTACTGATGTCTTGTATTATGTATATCATTCAAACAACAGGAAACGTGTGAAATTATTACAAAATGGAGACTTTTCTCCGCCTCGACAAACTAACATACTTTCCTAGTATCATGTTTGAGGATGGTGGAATGGTATTTAAGACCACATTCTCTCTATTCTTCATACAACCAAACTAATTTTTTAAAGGTTGAAATTTGTGCAGACAATACCATTCATTTCTTTTGGAAATGTAATCAACCTATCTACCTAGAACCACCTAAAAGTTCTGTATCAGATTCTATTTTTGTATAAACCCTCGTTTTTTTCTTGTTTTGATAAAGCCTGGACTCTGGGGACATATATGACTCTACAACTAATTTAGTACACCAGGCGGACACTTAGCAAAACAGAGCTATAAGAAATTGGTTGTTAAGTTTACTTTGAAAAGCTAAAAGGATATGTTTCTTGACTTGCAAAATTCAGGTTCCAGCTGTTACAGATTCTGGGTTCAAGGCACGGAAGATAGAGAAAGTTGCTGTAATTGGTGGTGGTCTAATGGGATCTGGCATTGCTACTGCCCTTGTTGTCAATAACATACATGTGATACTTAAGGAGATCAATTCTGAATATCTTCGACAGGGACTGAGATCAATAGAAGGTTAGCATCTCTGTGGTCGGGCAGATGAGTTACCATGAGCATTTGCTATATGAGGCTTTAGGCACTCTGAACATAATACTAGACTGTAGTCATTCTCGGGAGATAATCTTCATAACAGTTATTGACTTGTTCACTTAGTCCATTCATAGAAAAGAAGAAACGAACTTGCAAGAACACTTCTGGTCATTCTAAATTTTTAGCGTTGATTTTCTGTTGTATTGAAGTGATTTTTCATGAACTAAACTTGATTTTCTGTTATTATTTAACAAAAGGAGACAAGTTTTTGATGCAGTCTGTGTATACTGAAGTTAACCGATGTTAATGTGTTTTTGGAATAAACTTGAAATAGTTTTATTCAACGTGTGTACATTTGCATGTTACTTTGTTTTGCTTTAAGCAAGGATAATATCTATTGGAGTCATGCCAGAAAAGAAAATAGAACAGAAAGCTTCATTTTCCATGCAATGACTTTATTTTGATACTTAACTTTATCTTTATTAGCTAATCTCCAAGGCCTCCTATTGAGAGGAGAATTAGAGGAGGATAAGATGAAAAAGGCCCTGTCACTTCTTCAAGGTGCTTTGGACTATGAAGAATTTAAGAATGTGGATATGGTCATTGAGGTAATGTTTTAACTCCTACCTTGCTGCATCCCTCTTTCCTTTTTCGTCTTCAGTTCCATTGTGCATATGCATTTGTATCTTGTCAAATTCCATTTTGTTCATTGCTGTTCTATATACTGATTTATGACGACTTTCAGGAGAAGAGATACCAAAACGTCTATTGTTTTAACCAAAGAATTGTGTCATCCAGTTAATAAAATGTAAAATGTGGCTTATTATTTATCTGCCAATTTGATCCCAGTAATCTAGAATTAGTTGATTCACCCTGTTTCAACTGGTTGAACTCCATAAGCTTTACATGATTTTTGAATTTGATATGATTTCATTTTACAAATCACTTTCTGCTTATCTTGGTACCTCCTCCTTTTACTGGTGGCCTCTTTTCCAGGCTGTTAATGAGGACATATCCTTGAAACAATCAATCTTTGAAGAACTTGAAAAGGTTTGTTCTTCCAACTGCATCTTAGCATCAAATACATCCACAATCGATCTCAATGTGATTGGTGAAAGAACAACTGGCCAAGACCGCATTGTTGGTGCACATTTATTCAGGTACTTTTTCTGTGGGATTATTCCTGTACTTTCAAGCTTACAGTACAATATGCACATATAGACACACTGCATGTTTTAATCAAGACTATGAACCTGCAACTACAACATCCTGATCAAATTTTCTCTTCAAAACACACACACTGTTTTCTAGTACTGATAATTAGAAGAGGAAATTCATGTATACACAATATTTTAAAACAGCCTATACCTGTTACTCTCCCTGAATGTTGCTCATTCTGCTTAAATGAAAATATGGAAGTTTCTTGTTTTCATCATGGGAAGATTTCTGCAGAGATTTGGCATCATCTGTGTTTACATACTTTCAGGGAGAAAAACATTCATGTGAGTAGTTTTTGTGTAGTTGACTTGAATTCATGTGGTTAAATAGACTGCTAAAGACTTACCGCCAGAATTAGGGCAGCCAAGAAAAAGAGATGACGCAAAAATGAAAGACGGATATGGAAATTTCTGTTTGATCTTCTTCTTTTCCTAACTTAGTAGAAAAGTGGACTGTGTCATTGAAAGGTCACTATTATAATACATACAGATAATATGTGTAAACAAATCACTATATATTAAGACTAATTCTGTATATTTATGTCTTTATGTATCTAACTCTGCACCGTTATTTACGCTATTTCCTTCCTGATGTATTCATTTGTCCTTTTACCAATTCTTCTTCTAACTCTATCTGTGTAGTCCTGCTCATGTGATGCCTCTCATGGAAATCGTGAGGACGGAAAGAACGTCTCCAAAAGTAGTATTTGATGTCATGAGATTCGCGAAGATCATTAAGAAGGTTCCAATTGTAGTTAAGAACTGCACTTGTTTTGCTGCTAACCGACTATTCTTACCATATCTTCAAGCAGCAGATATGTTGGCGAATTTAGGTGTGGATATTTTCAGAATTGACCAAGTGATATGTGAATTTGGCATGCGAATTGGACCTTTTCAGTGAGTCTTCATCTCAAGTGCATCATTTCTCATTAGCTGTACTGGTCATACACATGATATGGAGATACTGAAATTTTGTTGAAAGGAATTCAGCCTTACATTTCCATTCAGTTATCGTACACTCTCTCATTCCGCAAGTCGAAATTAAGATTCGCTGTTCTGCTTAAATTAGTAAAAAAACCATTGTTGGAATGCTTGACATAAACCAAAAATGCAACAAAATTTCCAGTTTGGAATTGAGGTTTTTGTCATCTACCATGTTACTGGTGGTCACGTCTTTTGTGCGAACAATGGGAAATTTAATCGTTTCTTGTGCTGTGATATTCAGGGTTCAGGATGTGACAGGATATGACGTGTATCTGGCAGCCATGAAAGAGTTTTCTGCCGCATATTCTGAAAGGACTTTTCTGTCTCCTTTGGTTCAACTTATGCAAGAAAGTGGACGGGCAGGTATTTGGCATGTTTAAAATCTGATGTTTCCCAAAAAGAATAGAGGATTACATACTAAATTAAAGCGTGTAAGGTTAGTAGCAAGATGTTGTTGTTGGCAATTCAACTAAGCCGTCTTGTTCTGTTCAATAATGTGAAAATTCTAGGTAAGAAGAATGGAAAAGGATACTACGTGTATGAAAGAGGAAGCAGGCCAAAACCTGATGCATCCGTGCAACAAATTCTGGAGCAGACTAGGGAGCTTACCCGCATTGTTGCTGATGGACAGGTTAAACACTTTTCAGCAACTATGGCCATTACATTAGAATAAAAATTGTATCATCTGAGACTGAGACTACTTAAAATCGAGCTAGTACAATAGCTTTTTCAGATTTATGACCTCAACCTGAATGACTAAAAGACAGAAATGTTTACTGGGATGTCATTGGCAGCCAATATCTCTGACGGACCAAGATATCGTGGAAATGATATTCTTTCCTGTGGTAAATGAAGCCTGCCATTTGGTTGATGGAGGAGTTGTGGTCCGGGCATCAGACATTGACATAGCATCTGTTCATGGGATGAAATTTCCTTCATATTAGTAAGTCTTTGACAAAATATGTTTATTTTTTTCCAGAAAGTGAACCATCATAGGCAAAACCATTTTTCCTTTTAGAATCTACTTGACCAGATTTTCACATCAGAGAGTGTATAATTTCTTTAAACAAAGGAAATTTCAGGGCGAAGGGGCTTGGAAGAAACTGTTGGCCCATCATGTCCAGTTTAGTAGTGTCCAAAATTGCTTTGTTTAAACAAAGCAATTTTCAGGCAAAGGACTATCAACCTTCCATGTCAAGTTATTTGACTTTGAAATCCAGTAATTGCTGATTTCCAGTCTACTATATGCATATGTCGATCTTCACTTCTCTACTCCCAATGCTGGTTGCAAGTATTTCTGTTGCCACTTTGCATGGTCAATCTCTGAGCTTCTAACTGTGTTTTTCCTTTTTCCTGTGACTAGTGGAGGAATATTATTCTGGGCTGATTCACTTGGACCAGACTACATTTGCTCAAGGCTGACAAATTGGTTCAAGGCCTATGGAAACTTTTTCAAGCCATCCAAATATTTGGAGGAGAGGGCCAGGAAAGGTATCCTATTGGTAAGTGATCATAACAGTCTAAACCAATTTCTCTTCCACCTTGTTTTCCGCAATCATCCCTAATTAGACTTGGTTAAGGTTCTCCTTCGCTTTCAATTTATGCATAATTTGCTATAAAACCACTTAAAATGCTACAATTGTCGAGAATTTTTTCAAAGTTTATTGCAAGACGAACTATACTTTATAGTATCATTAAAGATTATCATGGTTGAGAACACGAGATATGAGAGAGTGAAAAAATCAACGAAAGATAACATTTGACATGGAGGCAGTGGTTATTAGTAGTTAATATGGCTTTGTAAGTGTTGGGGTTAAGTTGTAGTCTCATTTTCATTTAGTACATTTAAAAACTGTCAAGGGTTAGCCATTACAACCTTTTTTGGGGTAAAGGGGGCAGTGTAAAATTTTGGTTAAGAAGCAGAAACATGTACAGCAATACCTCATTCTGGCGTTTCAGTGGAATCATGTAGGTATTGGACAATTAGAGCAGTAACCTCACTTGATACAATCCTACAAATGCATGCATGTACAGAATATTGTTTGGTAACATTTCTTGTTTGCTTTCATTCCAGGGAGCATCATCCACTTGACTGGAATTGAATGAATGAACTTTCTTTTCTGGTACCATATGTTTGGGGCAAATAAGTCGCTTTGTGACAAAGACTTGCCATGGAATGTAGAAGGCTACAATCATTTTCTGGAATTCCTATGTAGACATGCAAATTATCGTCTTTCTGTTTTATATTTGGGATCAGATACATCATATCAACTGCTGTATGCTGTCAAGTTGAAAGACTTGAATTTTTATTCTCACTTTCTATTGAGTTTCATGGTACACCCTTACCTCAACGTGGCATTAAACAGTCCTAAATCTCCTACACATAATAGATTCCTAACTGAAAATTTTTTTTCCTTCATCCGAGAAGAGGCATCTCTTAGAATCCTACAAGATCAAGATTTCATCGTCCAATTACTTCAGAATGATGATCTTAGTGTCGTTCTTATTTAAGTTTCTTGTTAAACTAAAATTCATCACATACCACAGAATGAAATAAGCATCGCCATTCTTCTTTACCTTTGTTCTTAAAGCAACAACAAGAGAAGAAAAACCAATAGAGAGCGACAAGAAGAAGAAGAATAACCCCACAGGTTTTTTCCTTTACTTTTAGGTTTTGCTTTTAGAGCAGCCCACATAGTTTTTTGTGTACACAGCTTGGGTTGTTATCATGTATGTCAATTATGGTTTCATGTTGTCTCCTGTGTGGCTAAGTAAAATATTTTTCTTAGTAACACAGGTTTCTCATGACCTTACAGCTTTTAGGACATAAAATTGAAGATAACTCCAATGGTAATTAAAGATTGCAGTGATCCTTATGTTGCAAAATTGTGTCAAGGATTATTATTTAACCATGCCCAAGTTCGAGTGTTATGTCCATGCTTTCGATAAGCAAAGATGTGATATTATCCTACTTGACACACTCAATAGATTTTTCTATCTTTTATAACAAGCTAGCAATGCAAGGCAAGCGAGCAACTCGACTTGTACTTGAACTTGCGAGCAGCTCGCTCAACCATTCAATTCAAACTCGATATTGACCAAATTCAAATCGAGTCTGAGCTATTTGATGAATAATTTGAGTGGAGTTTGAGTGTGAGTAAGTGATACTTGTATGCTTGACGAGTCTTATCAATCCTTATCAAGTATTGATATATATATATATATATGTATAATTTTTATAGGATTTATTAATGTGAAATATCGATAATATCTCTTGTTTAAAATTATGTGAAATATTAATTTATAGTGTTTAAGCTTGATTGAGCTTGAGTAAGATATACGAAGTCCAACTTGAGTTCGAACTCAATTTTAAAAGCTTGCCAAGCTCGAATTTAGATATTTTAACTTGCGTCGAATTCTAATAGTCCACCCTATTATACTAGGTTTTCTTCCATGACAACCCAATTGCCAAATGGGTATCAGTATGCTAACAGCGGATTTGGGGCAGGGACGGTCCCTGCACGGTTAAGGGCCAAGATTTGCCCTCAAAATTTTGTGCGGCTGAGATTACACCATGTAACTCGATTTCCGCGTCAAGTGTGGGACCCACCACTATCTGTTGTGAAAATACATCCTGTGAAAAAAAAGTTACATCGTGTTTAACCAATGTTACGCGCAGTGCAAAATGAAGACAACCTACACAAACGGTTGCACCTGCAACCGTTTGTGCCCCGTATCCGCTAACAGCTAACTCCATAAGATCACTGAGACTGCAACATCTGCAAGAAAATAGACAATGCTTTACCTTGCAACAGTGGGCTCATCAGTGTCCAACATGACTTTAAGCTATCATCCATGCTTTCGCACGATGTTCTAATTCTCAGCTGGCTTTGTTGCAAAATTTGTCACATAATTATTGTTTTACCTTCCATTCAGGGAGAGTCAAGTTGAGCTTGAGCAACCAAATTTCTTCTTTTCTGTAACACCTTAGGTCAATAAGTTGCAGCCAGTGTAGAAGTTGCAATGGGAGATAAAGCTAACAGTGTTCTATGAATCGTCTGTAATGTGATAGATATTTACTTCCTTTCCTTCACAGCATATATGGTTGGAAGAAATGAAGATTATTTTCATTTTCGTCCAACTTAAGGTGCTCTTGTCTAGAAGTTTTCCAGGACAACCATTTTACTGCCTCGAGATGTTGAAGAAAGCCATCATAACTAACTTTGCAGAATAGCCCTTTTATGGCTGGATTTCCATAACTCTCTTCTATTGTTTATGAATCTTCGACATCAATTTGGTTAGGTTGCAAATCACCTCTTTAGGGGGAGAAAAAAAAGCAACTAAAATTGGATTTGGGCAACAGAGAAGCGAAGAATCATATACATCACATCATGACGCTATAATTGTTTCTCACATTATATTGCATTTTCAAGGCCATAACACAACTTTAAACTCCAGTTACTATTTCAGAGATTACATGCTATTATGTCATGAAGAACCTGTCAAACCAATCACTTGCTTCTTTTACCATCAAGGGCGTCATCTGGTGAGGGATTCCTGGTTCTGCTATAAGCTGGCAGAGAGGAGAATAAATCATGTCAGAAATGGAAGGAAGTGGCTAAAAATTAATTGGGAAGAATTACTGAACAAGGTGAAGAAGAAAGCATCGCAGAATTCTAAAGAAAGAGTGGTTCAACACAACTTCTTTGATCAATAATACATCAACTACAAAACTATTAACAGTAAATTGACTGTAACGGGAGTTGTTCCAACTTTGACATCAGAAGCGCATCAGAAAACCACATTTCTCTTATGTGCTGGAACATGCAAAGATAAAAAATTATGAACTTGTAAAAGAAAAAGTAAGGGGTGACTGGGGAAGACAAATTCCTACCTTGAAAGAATCCAATGCACTGGCCTTTATATAAGCCTCTTGTGCTCTTGATTTTGGAATTTCCAGGCCAGGCAAAGGGCACCGCGGGTCTTCAGCACCTGCACATTCAAAAATTTTGCAGCCCAAACAGCTTAACTTCTTCAGAAAAAATAGAAGTACAACTATTAGAATAAGAACATGCAGCACAGCGTGAATACCATTTAAGATCAGCAGTGGACGTGGTGCAATAGCTGGAATTGTATGAGGTGAATCAAACTTGGAGGCTAGATCTGGAGCTATTCTATCCCAGACCTGGTGAGGAAGTATACAATATATGAAACAGCCTATGGCATCTCAAGACATGGTATCAAATAAATGATATTTGAGTTTGGTTTTTTAAATCCAATATGAATGACACCAATTGAAGAAAGACAAAGAAAGAAAAGTAAGGAATTATAATGATGCTAGTTTTTTGTTTAGAAGCTGGCATCACATAAAGAAAACAAAAAAAGTCTGGACAAAATTGAGCAAACGTGAAATCAGCATTGGTACTTACCTTTTGTACCACTTCTTTATCGATTGCAGTCTTGCCTAAATCAATCCTTGCCTCTGGAAAATAGATATGAAGAGCAATGTCAGAATGCTTGCAGTCAAGTCACAAGACCTGGATACAAAGAAAGAATAATCCTATGACAGCTGGAAAAGACATTCATCATAATTCTGCAGAAAATATTCTTTGCGCCACTCACTTTCGAATACTGCCTTGATACTATCAACTCGAGCTTGCCACTTGTCATGCTCTATAGCCCATTTGAAGGCCTACAACCATAGTTGCTCAAATATTCTCAGATTATGAATGATATTCTCAACAAAGTGTTAAGAAATCTAATAGAAACATACATGACTTGAAGGTTATAAATCGACCTTACTTGAACACCAATTATAGGTACAACCACAGCATAGCGAGTATCCGCAGCACCAGCAAACCATGCATGCATTCCTGCATATTACACCTTGTAAGTCCTCCACGTTGGTGGAGCAGTTAGATTCACCTTTTGCTCTTAAATTTAGTTAACTGACCTCCAAGTGATTCACCAGTGATCCCTAGCCTGAGTGGGTCTATATCTTCCCTTTGTGTGAGATAATCTGCAAGTTTTATCAAGTCGCACACCTGGAATGTTCAACTGTTAAAGGTACTCTCGCTTGAATTAAATTTCTAATCATGACATGAGCGCCAAATCATTCCTAAGAAACAAAAGGACTATAATGACATTTCTGGATTACGGATGCACAAACTAGATTGGGAATTGATTTCCAAACAACAAGAGCAATACCGTATCAAATATGAATGGCATCGTATCACCTTTTTCCCATGATGACACGAGGGCCTGCATTGTAAGAAGATAAAGGATAATGCAATTACTTTAAAATAAACAAACTGACATCCAATCAATGATGGGACAGAGCAAATGTTAATAGACAAGTAATTCAACCCTGCTGGGTTGCCACAATTACAAGACTTCTCCTGCGGCTTTTAAAATTTCAAAAAATTCTATTTATCATTTTCAAATTAATTAGACCTATTTTTCTACGATAATTTAAGTTCAAATGGCCTTGCTTAACTACGGTGCTTATTAAAATTCTTTTGGAATTTCAAGCATATTACATGCTGACATGAAAACCTAAAACGAGGTCATTGTGGTAAACAAAAACCATTGGAGGGAAGCCTCTCAAATCGTGAGGAGAGATAAGTCTGATTTACCCACTATAGATCCATGTCCAACAAGGCATAAAAAATGGCACACATTCAAGAAAGTCAAACTGTAAGGGGGATTAGATAGCTCTCCACTCCATGGGATTCTTCAGAGCATGGTCTTGCCTAAAGACGGTAAATTGTTAACCACCATTGTATGACTCATTGGACAGAGAAAGCTCCACAATATCCATTATAGCTGTGAAGCAAGCTGCAATTCAAGGATATCAAACTGAAAGAGGAAGAACAGCTCTCCTCTTAACATGACTCTTCAGCATAATTGTCTTGCCTGAGAATCAACACCATCATTCTTGACATCATATGTCGGTGGTTTTCCGAAGGACACTTAACTTTTTATGTCAACCTGGTCATAAGAGAGTTTGTCCATATTCTTTGTGTTCCTTCCTCAAGTCTGGTAAAATAGGTTTTCTTATATCGGTTTGGTATACCATTTTGATGTGTCAAACATTATAATTTGTATAAGAACCTAATAACGGAAAAAACAGGTAAAGAACAAGCACTGGTACATACATCTCGATACGTTGTCAAGCTTCTAGCACGCTCTCCATGATAACGAGAATCAATAGCAACTGCTATATATCCCCTTGAAGCATACGCCTGTGGTGAAACACAGCATGCTTAAAGCAGATTTTTGGTTCCCAAACTCGATGTTCACAATGTTTAAGGATATGAGAAGGAAAATTACGGTTCTCTACCAACCT